TATATTTTACCTTATATACATTATAATTTATAATTTTCGGCGAAGGGGGTTCTCTGCCTAGCTCCGCCCCTGGGTGGTAGGAGGCGGTTATCGCCAATTTCAAGATCTCAACAAGCTGAGTGCACTTTGGATGATATATTCATATTTTGGGATGGGGTTAAGTGCACTGCTACTTGGGTGCTACTTTTGGATTCTTGCAGCGTAGTTACCTAGAGGCTAGAGGATAAATAGGATGCTTAAGAACATGATATTAAGCTTTATTCTGAGGAGTTAGGATGCTGGGAAAAGATAAATACAACTCCATTACTCTATATTGAAGTGTGTGTCATATTTTCACCATTCACCACACATTGTATTATTATTGCCTTCACTAATTTGGTTGCCAAGATAAGGGAAAGACCTGCTTGAGGGGTTGGAGATCTAGGATGAGGTTGATGACTGGTAAGTTTAGTAACCAATCAGAAGGAAAAAAATATGTACAGAAATACATACATATGTGTTATGTTTCCATATATTAGCAGTTATCAGAAGTTTTTACGTAATAACATGTCTTGTACTTGTTATGGTCTCTTTAGACTTCCTCTAGTTCTTTACAGCTTTCCGGTTGATTATTGATCTTTCTTCCACCTTTTTCTAGAGGGATCTCTGTTTCAATTTTCTTTTTCCTTCTTTGTGCTCCCTTTTCTGCTTACCTTTTATCCTGGCCTCAGCCATCATATTGCTTATTCTCTCTGAGGTTTACCTATGTCCTCTCTTCTTGTGCATTGAGATTATACTGCTGACTATGGTCATGCAATATTGATGTTTTATCTTTCTTTTTATGGACAAAGCAAAGGATCCTGCAATTTCTTCGTTCACTACTTTTCTATCTCCCATCTGCATCTAGCCTTTAAATAATCTTTCTGGCTCCTACTCTATGACTTGTTTCTCATTATTTTCATTTCATTTTAGGTTGTAATGGATGCTGTGAATAAGCCTCGGAATGTTACCTATAAAGGGCTCACTGACCTAGTGACCGAGTAAGACTTTGTATTACTTTTGCTGGTGGTTATTTGTTTGTTGCAGAACTGACACAGTGCTTCTGTTTCTTTTTCTTCTACGCTGATGTGTCAGGTTGATTTATAAGGCTGTCAAAGGCCATATCTTAGAGGCTTTACATTCTTGTTGCAGTGTTGTTTTCCAGTTTTTGGTGACAACACTGAGCCTTGTATGATTCACAGTAATTAGTGAATCTACTTTTTTCATTGTCACTATGTCTAGTTTTGTCACAAAGAGTATTTTCTTTCCTTTTTATTTTTTTATGTTTCCATTGAAATGATTTAGTTCTTTATTAGACTGTATTAAATATTCTCTGACTTTCCTTTCCAAAATTATGTGATCGTTGTTAATTGCTCCTCCTTTTTTTTTCCTAGCTGGAAGCACATTCGCCCCTTCTCTTAAGACCATGCTTGAATTAACACTAAAATATGACAATGCCTTGTTAGTGACTGTTTACAGCCTCACTTTATTGGTTGACCTTATGCTTTAACAATTTGGTGATCTTATATGAGCTAAATTTTAGTTGCTCTATTCATTTTATTTCTTTACACGAAGACTTTCATCATGTTGTCGCAGTGGTTAATGTGTTTGTTTAAACTTATTGCAGCACAGATAAAAGTAGTGAAGTTGCTATCCTTGAAGTAGTGAGGAAGAATTTTCCAGATCATCTAATTCTTGGGGAGGAAGGAGGAATTATTGGGGATTCGTCATCTGATTATCTTTGGTGCATTGATCCTTTAGGTTTGCCCTACAGATCTCTAACTTCCACGGCAATGAAAGTAGTAATGCATATAGTCGAACTGTCTATTAGGGTTAGACAGCTTGTGTAGGTTCCCATAAGTAGATATGGATTACCAAGGTTCCAAGTGGTTTAACTTGTAACTGCTAAGTTGTTTAATTTAGAAAGGGTCACATTTTACTAGATCTCTCCCTTCCACATTTAACTAGTTCTAGTTTAACAAATACACAAGTTCATTAACCTAAATACCAGGCAACTATACTAGCAAATTTAACCATGCAAAGGCACGTAATTTCTCAACCAATATATGGATGAACTATGTTGCGCAGACTGTCCAAAATGATGCAGCACCCGTGTCGGATCCTCCAAATATACTATTTTTGGAGGATCCGACACGCACCCGACAATATTTTCGGAGAGTCCGAGCAACATAGTGGAATATTGAGCATCATCCCACAAGGCTTATGATGAAGTTGAGTTGACGTTAACTTCATATTGATTGAGAATTGGAAATGGGTGGAAGTAGTAAACAATGGAATAAATAGGAAAGTACTGAATACTGATAAGGAAAAAAGGAAATAAAATAACTAGGTAGCTAAAAGAAAATCTTGTGGTAGCAAGCTTGTGTTTCTGACTTCACGTAATTGCTTCTTTTGGATCTTTATTATCCTCTTGATCTTACTTATAATGTGAGTTTCTATGTCGGAGTTCATAATTATTCAGGGTACATTCCTATGTCAAGTGAAGCTAACCTTCTTAACTATTTCTGATGGTTATTAAGATAAGGAGGATATTCTAATTTCCATGCCTTTGAAGTATAACCCTATTCTGCAATCAAATCATACCTAATTCATCTATTTGATTAGTATAAATCAAAAGCTTTTCAATCCTCAGTCTAAATTAAGAATCTTTCCTAAGCTCACTTAAAATATAAAAAAGACTAATTGGTCAATCAATTAGAATTAGATACAAAATTGAACAACCAACTCAATCATCAGTAATAAAGACCAAGAAAGAAATTAATCCAAGCTACATGATAAGATTCATCCTAACTTGGAAAATTAAAATTTGTGTGCTAAGAGTCTTAGAACATCATAGAGAATCTCTTAAACGTCCAATGACTAAGTGGAATTGGAAGAAAGAAACTCTATTAGGTGCTCTAATCTCTTCAAAAGCTCTTTGTCTTGTGCCTGATCTTGCCTCGAAAAAATGATTGTTACCCTTTTATGGTCTTGGAAGTTCCCCCTTTTTTTCATTTTAAAAATAATAATCTTGAATTCCTGTAAGAGTTGAGAACGCCATAAACACCCAAAAACGTGGTCTAGCAGTTGAGGAGTTGGAATGATAATTTTAGACTTGCACAGCTTCAGTAAAATGGTCATAACTTTGCCAAAGAATTCCAAATGAGCCATTTGAAGCATTCACAAGTGTCATGGGCTGCAGTTTTACGAGAATCATGGCTTAACTTGAGATCTAGATTAATCCAGATTACTTCTTGCAGTTTAGTCAAAATCTGGCACGTTCATTGCACAATTCACGCCGAGGGTTCTTTTCCTAAATATGCAAAAATATTTTATATCAAGTGAGATATCCACGATGTGCTTCAAAAACTTACCAATTTTGGTAAAGTTACTTAATATTATCATCATACAATCATCTTATCACATACAAATAGATATATTGCATGTGTGAGTTCAACAAAAATTCGCTCCACTGGAAACAATGGCACCACATATTATCTTAAAGACAACTCAACCAATAAGGAACAAATATTAATTGGCAACTTTATCTTGCAGATGGAACAACAAACTTTGCGCATGGCTATCCTAGCTTTGCGGTCTCTGTGGGTGTTCTTTTCAGAGGGAAGCCAGCTGCAGCTACCGTGGTATATGCTGGGATAGTTTCTGATGTGCTTTTTGGATTATTTACCATTGTTCAGTGGAAGAGCACCGTCTCTTATCCAGTGAGCTTGGTCTATGAAAATCTTATGATAGCTGATTCCGATCTAATGTGCAAGAAGAGAACCAAAAGCTTGAATGATCACTAGCAACTTAAATCATGTAGTGCTAAGAGATTGAATATGTTATATTCTTTTACTATCTTGGGCGAATTATGTAAAAAAGAAATTTAGTATTTTTATATTCATAGCTGTAAGGGACCTGAACTGAGATAAAAAGGGGAAGGAATTTACAGTGAACTGTACAAATTCTAAAACAGTTGAAATGCGACGTGCTTTAATGTTGCTGTAAGATTTTTTTTCTGAAGCTACCCATAATTGTGTAGGATTTGTGTTAGTTGCACTTAAATATCAAATAATTTAATCCAAGGCAACTCTACATTTTTAAATCTACTGAAGAGTTGAATTAGCTGACCAACCAAGGTCATGTGGCTTTTATCTTATAGTAGCTATTATGCAGTATACAGAATCCCGGAGAAACACTGTGAGAACGAAATTGGGAACCATAAAGTGGAAAGACCATCAATGACACCAAATCTCTTGTTCTGATATGACATCTGAAGTCCTCGCCCGGAACATAATACTGTTAATGTCTGCTTCTTTATAGGTTGAGTTTGTTGGTGGCCCTATGTGTTGGAATACTCGCATATTTTCTGCAGCTGCAGGTAAAGAAGTTTATCTATAACAAATCATTTATTCAATTGCGAATTCCAACGATCTACTACTGACATATGCAATTTTCTTCTTCTAGGCAAAGGAGCCTTTGCTAATGGTGAGAAGATTCATGTCAGTGGAACTGACAAGGTGAGAATTTTAATATGCATGTGTAAAATAGCTTACTTTCCATTTTCCACAGACCCATGATTTGAAATGAGAGTTTGATGGTAACTTTCATAGCATCCGATAAACACAGTTCTTGCTTGTCTTATTGAATTAGGAAATTGGGTAAATGTTGAACTTACCTGCTATACCTGCTATGTGTGACCTGTTATGCGTGCAGACCCATTTACATGCACGTGTATTTTTTACTATTTGATAGTTGTGCTAGTTTTGCACCTTCTTTTGGCAAAGAGGTAATATATGGCTTGACTTTGAAGTTTTAAATTGACTATAGTGTTACATTTGTAAATCTCACGAAATGAAAGGTACACTTACTGTCAATCTTCTTTCCGTTTTTTTGGGGGTTTGGGGGGTGTTTAGGTGGAACAATCTCTTCTAGTGACTGGATTTGGATATGATCATGATGATCCATGGGCAACCAATATGGAATTGTTCAAGGACTTTACTGATGTCAGCCGGGTAGCAACTTTATCTGAAAATCTTGCATATGCGCCCCC